AGACCGGGCAGACCTCGTCGCTGAGATCGCTGGCCCGGCCATAGCCACCCAAGCAGTGGGTTGGGCCGCTCTGGGGTCCATGACATCCAGGTAGCCAGGGCCCGAGGGACCGAACGCACTGGCCAGTCGCTGGCTGTGAGGTGGCCAGGAGCAAAGGGAAGCCCGGTTTCCCCTCGCAGGGCTCTCAGCTGCCCCACCCCCAGCCCTGGGCTCCGGATGAAAGAAGATGAAACACATGCAGCCTGCTGGTTGCTGTGCAGTCCCCTCGGGTCACGTGGCGAACCAGGCCCAGACGAGGCACGTCCGCTCCCACCTCTGCGGCCCCCAACGCTCTGCCCCCCAAGCCTGGGTCCTGTCACCGTGAGAACTGCCAGGAGAGCATCGTGAGAATCGCCCCTAGGGTGGGTTTAGTCCTTTTGTTGAGTGACTTTCTCCTGCCCTTGGGGACATTCCCAGGCTCCAACTCTCCCAATGACATTGCTGTTTCCATGGGAACCAGGCTGCTTCAAAGAGGCAAGATGTGGAAGGGTACAGAGGCAGGCAGAGCGGGAGGACAGGAAGGCAGGGTGAGTGCCAGGCAAGAAGGGAGGACCGGCTCCTCCACACCCAGAGCGGAGAGGGTGGGGCACGTGGCTAACGGGGCTGGGAGGCCGGTGGCGCGAGCCCGCTGCTCGGGAGAAGTTCTGCCCGGCTCTCCACCCTGCCCGTCCTCTGCGGGTCGGTGAGACAAAGGCGCCGCAGTCTGCAGCTGCGGCTCAGCAGCCTCTGTGCGCGGAATGCTAAACCGTTCCCAAGCCTTAGCCGCCCCGTGTGCGCAGCGGGGAGGGAGGCTGAGCAAGGGGACCTGGGGGGCTTGGCCTTCCGAGGGAGGACCCCGGGAGCCAAGGCCACTCCGCCAGGCCGGACACGCTGACTCTCCCACCCGGGAACCCCGAGAGCCCCGGGAGGGGCCGGGGACTCTGCTGGCTCCCCAGGGGCAGCGGGGGCTCCGCAGGGCGCACTCTGGAGGGAGCTTCCTCTGAAGGTGAAACTCAGACCTCCACTAGGATGGGCCATGACTTCCCACAGAGACCTCACCTCCCGGCTCAACCCATCGCTACGGTCTCCCCAGTGACGTGTGAGGAGCAAAATCACAGGTGCTCCCATGCCCGGCGGCCCTTCACCAACCACACAGTCTTGTCACCATTATTTCTTCCCTTTTTTTGTTTGGTTTAAAGTATATTTTTGTTGATTTCAGACAGGAAGGAAGAGGAAGAGAGAGAGAGAAACATCAGTGATGAAAGAGAATCGTGGATGGGCTGCCCCCTCACACCCCTTACTGGGGATCAAGTCCGCAACCGGGCCTGTGCCCTGACCGGTAATCCAGCCGTGTCCTCCTGGTTCACAGGTCCACCACTGAGGCACCGTGCCGGGCCACCATTATTTCCTGATCACAGCAGCTCCTACTGGCCGTGGCTCGGTAGCGCCACTCCGAACGGGGGGACACATCCTTCTGTGAGTGACCTCAGTGCCAGGGTCGTTTGTAGGAAACAACTTCACAGGAAGGAACCAGAAGTCAAATTTTCATGCCAAAGGCACAACATTCATGCTTTCTACATGTTACTCTCCTATCAGAACATCAAGACCTACAGGCTTTGAATTCTTCACACGTCTCCAAAAAGACCGTGAAAAAGGCACATCGGGAATGACACTTAAAGAAGACGTCCATGCCCTGGCCGGTGTGGCTCAGTGGATAGAGCCGCCGGCCTGTGGACTAAAGGGTCCGGGTTCGATTCTGGTCAAGGGCACGTGCCCGGGTTGTGGGCTCGATCCCCAGTGGGGGGATGTGCAGTAGGCAGCCCATCCATGATTCTCTCTCAACATTGATGTTTCTCTCTCCTCTCCCTTCTTCTCTGAAATCGATAAGATATATTTTTTAAAGACACCCACGCTCTAGAAACGCTCCTCCCAGGACCGACAGAAACAGGTCCCCGCGAGCCTGAGGCTCTGCTGCTCGCGTGGGGCCAGGAGGACGAAGGCAGCTCACCGCACATCGGCCCGACCCCCGAATCTCCCAGGACGGCCCGGGCTCCCCGGCAGATTACCCCCTCCGGCGAGGGCCGTGGACAGAGCAGTCCCTGAGGAGCATGGGCTGGTGCTGCGGACAGTGCCCTGAGAGCCACTGGACTCTGTGTGTCTCTTCTGGACGGTGTTCCAAGGAGACAGAAACCAAGGTAGAAGGGGAAAAACCACGACCCAAACCCCACCACCTCTGCTGCCCCCCGTCAGACGGACTCTCAGCTCGAGCGGCTATTCTCTGCCGGGTCCGGCCCAGGAAAAGGGCCGCACTCTGACTGGACACACTCAGCCCCAACTCGGCCCTGCCGGTGGCTCAGGGGCGTGGTCAGCCGTGGTCTCTCCTCCCGAGTAGGTTTAAGGGCACACTCTCTCCCCCCTAAAACTCCTCAAGCAGCAAAGGCCCCTCCGAAACCCTTCCTTTTGCCTCTATTTTAAAAATATACATATATTTTTATTAATTTCAGAGAGGAAGGAAAAGGGAGAGAAAGACAGAAACATCAATGATGAGAGAGAATCATGGGTCAGCTGCCTCCTGCACGCCCCACACGGGGGGTCAAGCCCGAAACCTGGGCCTGTGTCCCTGACCCAAATCGAACCCGTAACCCTTCAGTCCACAGGCCGACGCTCTATCCCCTGAGCCACACTGGCCAGAGCCCTTGTGCCTTTAGAGTTAGTGGTTGGATCAAGGACACAACCCTTAGAGGAGACTCGGGTCTTGTCCCCGAGGACCCTCTCCACGACGGGTCCCGGGCAGAGCGTTCAGGCCGCACTTTCCCAGGCGCTGCCTGAGGGGCCGTCTCCTGCCCGGGGTCGTGGAGGCTGGGCCTGTCCCCGCGGGGGCTCCTCACACACACCGGCCGGCAGTTCTCTCTCCCGCTCCGGCCGCACC